GGGTGCCAGGCACTTTGTCCATGACATGGTAATCCTTTAAACCCTACAAGGTAAGTCTGTATTATTCTCATTCTAGAGTTGAACAAACAGGCTTAAAGAGGTTGACTGACACAGAGCTGGAAACCAAGTGGGAGAACCAGTGTTCTGCTGATTTTCCCAGTTTCTACTTCTACATGTGTTGGTCATGCTCTCTAAAGCCAATAAGCCAGCATCAGAATGACCACATATTCCAGTCTACTAGGATTGTCCTTCTACCATTTCAGCAAAAGTCAGAAAGACAATTGTGCTTTCAGGAGACTGAATTAAAGCAAGGAGCAAGCTAGTACCACAAACATTCCCAAAGGATCACAAGGCACGTAAGATAAGGTGGAACAGTAAATGATGTCACGTTGGAATAACTGAAGACTGATCAGGTTTTAATTTTGCAGCCTTGTTCTCGTCTTACTCTTTATTTTTAAACTGAAGGCCCTAAGAATGTTTAGTTGGAAACTATTCAAAAAACAAACCAACCCACAGTATTTATATATATATATGTGTATATATATATATATATACACACATATATATATACTACTGATAAAAGTGTAAGTTGGTTTTCTAGGGGGCAAAGTGGCAGTAACAAAAGCTTTTAAAAATTGGCACTAGCAATTCCATTTTCAAGTATTCATCTTAAGGAAATATTAAGAACACACAAAAGATTTAGCAACACAATGTTCTTTAGAGCAGTTTATTAGTGAAAAATTGGAAACCTAAAAATCAACAATAGTTTAATAAAATGTGGCACATATGATGGAATACCGTGCAGCCATTAAAAAAGATGTAGAAATATATTTGACACAGGATAGTTATGGTATTGTCAAGTGAAAAAAAGTCACAAAACAGTATGTACAACTTGATTCCATTAAAAAAATGTATAAATGCACAGAAGTCTGGAAGGCTATACACCTAAACAGTTCTCCCAGATGGTGGGATTATAGGTGGTTTTTATCTTTTAAACTAAATTTTCATTTTTTTCCTTTTTATCAACACATCTATAACTTGTATTATTAAAAAAGCATTAGCATTTCTTAAAAAGTCTCCTGTGAAGTAGGAATGAAAGAGCTTAGCAACCTGAGGCACAGGGATGTAAACGTTAGTCTGAAATCACTTGAATAGTTAGGGTGCTTGGATGTCAAATTGTCACCATGTTAAGTGGAAATGTGGGTGGTCGTAGTGCTTACCCTCTCAGATGAAGGGATCCATTCCTAAGAAACCTTTCACAGCAACCAAGTACTAGCATTCCTAGTACTATTTCCCTTCCTTAGGCTAAGCATACCCTTATTCCGTCACACCCACTTGCAATAGAGCCCAGCAAGAGGCCTCTATGGAGAGGCACAGAGCAGTGATGGCCCACGGTGCAGAAGGCAGGGAGAATTTCTCAAGTGATGTCAGATAGTACCTGAAGGTGGAAGGCAAGTTTTGTCATTCTACTCAAGTGGTTCTCAAACTTGTAAAAACAGATTGCTAGGCCCTACCTGGCATTCCCCACCCCCAACCCCCGAGTTTAATTCAGCAATCATGGATAAGGCTTAGGAATTGCATTTTCCACCCCTTTCATTTGACAATTATTTACTGAGTTCACACAGTGTGCTATGTCTTGTACTAAGAGTTGGAAATTTGTGGTCAAAAGAATTACAGCTTCTACCTCAGGGAGCCTACATTCTAGACTGACAGATACATTACTTATCAAATAAATTATAAAACTATAGAATTATGACAGTGCTAGAATACAGTTAAAGATCAGAAGATAGTTTTTATCTTATTTTTATGTTACATGGAAGAACCAAGACTAATTCAATAGCCCCCTTCAAGACAAAAAAATTAAGTATAGATAAAGGTAGATAGTCCTTGGAAATATGAATTAGCATTTTAAGCAAGTCCCCAAGTGATGTGGCAATTGCCTATTCTGGGGTCTCTGAGAACCACTGCCCTACTGAGGAGACTTTCTCTTTCGGATAATGTGGGAGAAAGGGCACAACTCCCTCCTCCTCCTGAGTCTTACCTCAGGTAGGAGCCACTTAATCATTTGGAAGACGGAGTGAGGCTAAGCTAGCTAGCTATTATGGCTCCTTACTCAGGCTTCAAGTACTACATAGTAGGCAACATATTTCAAAATTGCAAGCATTTGGGAGGTAGGGAAGAGATTTTTGAGGAATCCAGTTAACACATGGAGGTAAGCTGGGTCTGAGTAAACAAAGTGGTTGCTTCTTGTCCTGCACGGTCATCTTTCCCAGTGTATCTCAGACTTGCCCTCCCACACCAGCTCCTCCGTTCACATTCTGTTCCTTTGTGCTGGTGGATAACAGCAGACTGTGAGGACGGGCCTCACTCACTGGCGACCCTAGCCTCAGGTTTCTTAGTTCTCCTGCTACTCAGAACGAGGCACATTCCCATTTGTGGGACCTAATGTCCTACAATATGAATTTTTCTGATTAGCACCATAAAAAACGATTTAATACCATGACCTTTTAGGCTAGATTGATAATAAATGTAGAGACAATCCAGTCATTTTTTTCTGTCTGTAAAAGAGCCTACAATTATTTCCCAGTTTATTATTTCATTCATATGTGCATCCTTCACATGTTACTACACTCTTAGATTAAGCTCAGGGGCACAGAGCTTATTTAAATAATTTTAAATTGCAACATGAATTATTAGCCTTCCCAAGCTTTTCTTCCATGCCTAAGAACCTTATGGAGCTTTACCTGAGTAAAAATTAAACCCATGACTTTGTAAGTCAAAACCTAAATAAAAAGCCCACAAGTAACAAAACCAAAAAACCCCCCAAAACAACCACACAAAACCCCTTTAAAATAAAAAGCAGTAAATGTAATTACAAGTCCACATATTATTGTGGATTTGTGGTAGACAAAGGCACAAGAAGCATCTGAACCTTAACATTATTGAAGGCTACTGCACATTATTAGGTTATTATAATCAACATTCATTTGATGGAAAACAGAAGGTTCTGGTAACTCATGCTGGCTATGGTGAAGTTAAACCTAGATCTATGCAATTCCTGATTTAAAGGGGGTAGAAGATAGGGTTGATAAGCAGAAAAGAGCATGGGTATAAAAGCTATTTCTGGTATAGTCATAAACCAGGCCTACAATCTGGATTGGTCAGGAAGCTACAGGGGCCAACAAAGGAAAACTATTTATAGAATGTTTCTATTCTGTGTCAAACTTTTCCCTAAAAATGCCTTATCATACAAGTTAACATTTGCTACAGGGTCTTCACATCAACTTTAAAGTGGCATAATTATTATTCCTATTTACTAATAAGGAAACATTAGGCAAAGTTGGAAGTTGAACTCAAAGGGCACAGGATGTGAGAAGACTGGATTTGAACGCAGGGCAATTTCACTCCAGTACCTGTACTTCCCCCCCCTTTACTACTCTACTTCCCCTTCCCATAAACCTAATTTATAGTTGCTATTTAAGTTGACCTGGTTTTTGTGTATGCTCTTTTAGAACCTACACCTGGACTCATGTCACATAAAAGATGGTACACTAGACTGGCTGTAGAACTTCCTTTTTGGGGAAATAAAGAGCTCACTCACTGGGTGCTATAGCTAACCAGCCTGAACAGCTTTTTCAGGTTAAGAGTATGGTGATTCACACTGTGAATCAAAATGTCTTTATACAATTATAAAACTGCAGAGGAATGTGTCTCAGCACAGAAATAAGAGGGTAACAACTATTGTTAAAGTTTGGACTGTGAATTAGATTATTATCAACACGTTTACAAAGCTCTTATTAGGAGCTCTTAAACACATTTTAAAATACCTTTTGTGTTAAGTGTTCATCATTTTTTTTTCAGTACCAAAAAAATATTTCAATACATTAACATTCTCTGGATGAACTACACTTTAGCACATCATGTGTAAGCCAGACTGAACTACTTTTAATAATCAGAATATGCTGCATTCTCTGGGCTCCAGGCCTGGCATATCTTTTTCCTTCTACCTGGAATACTTCCTCTCCAAACCAGCTCCCACTCCCCAAATCCGAATTAGGTGACTCCCAAAGTTCCCAAACACAGTACCCCATATTTCTTCTACCATGACATGGATTTTGCTATATGGTAACTGCTTATTTTTCTGGATTCTCCTCTGGTCCTTAAGGTCTGCAAGGGAAAAGGGCTGTGCATCTTGGGGATATAGGTAGTATCCCCGGGGATAGTATACCCCAGTTGATGAGCACAGTGCTTGGCCCTCAACAATGAATGAATGATGAATGAGTGAATGAGAATGAATGCAGAAGTCCTAACATGGAAACAATCTGATTCACAGCAATGGTCCAAATAGCAATTTTCTGACTGCAAGTGTGGCACTAATAATTTCATTAGCGTTTCATAACCAGAGACACTGATCAATATAACCAAAGTTCATTAATAAATATTCAAAATTAGAGTAACCGAAAGTGTATTGTTTGTATATAATTTTCCTCTATAAGTGTAGTTGCACTAATCCATATTTTTGATAAGGACTGTTCCATAAGAACAAATTCTCTTTACTGAAGTATGTTCTTAGCAGATCTCTGATTATGCATTAAATTGTGCCAATTGAACAATCTTTAAAAAAAAAACACTGATTGATTAGCGAATTGAACTTGATCCAGGTGGTTTTAGAACCTTCACTGAAAATATACCAGAGTAATACCGTAATGCTTTGCAAGGACTAGTTTTTCTTAAATTTAGAAGAAATCATTCAGTAGTGTTTAATAAAAACCCCCAAGACCCCCAAAATAAACCACTGAGATATAGTATTGAAATAATTCAATTTCTGTTGGAAAACAAGGTAAACATGGTATAACTGCCTTTCTGTTTATGGAAACATTCAGAAATATTTTCTACAAAAGAGACTTATATCCTAGAGCTCTGTTTAAACCAATAGTTTAAAACAAATTTTAATTTTATTCTTTGGCTATTAATCATACCTAATAAATGAGTCACTGGTATCAATTCACAATAAATTTATTTTACATAAAAGAAAAAGCTTGCCATTAATGAAAAATTCAGTAGAAAACAGTTCTTCTGCTTTAAGTTGGAGCTCAAAAGTAGAAGCTGCTTATTAGTGAAACCTCAGTAGAAAGAGAATTTTGTAAGAAAACATTCTTGGCATGAAAGCACTAACATAAATTCTGTAATGAAATATTTACCATGCAATTTTATTGGCAGAAAGGCTGGTTTCTGATGGCTGGTATTTTCTTTTCAGTCTCCTAAGAATATTAACATGGAAGATACTTAAACCTGTTTTATTTAGAGTTAATTGTATATAAATACTGGTGTCACGATGGGTAATCTTTCCATAGTCCACCTATTTAATTGAGCAGTTCTAAGTAGGTAATTGGCACCCTGCCCTTCTGATTTCCCCTTTCCCCCATTAACCAGTCTGAATCCATTCCAATGACACTGAACACAGTGATTACCTACAAAAAAAAATATTTCCAGTTATTAACTATGTTAAAAAATAAGTACATTGAAGACTAATTAGATCTGTAATCTGTTTAAACTATTCATTATTAATTCTTTAAACATCAATTTTGCTAAAAGAAAGGATTTTATTAGAGGCAGTTTTAGAAATCTAGTTATTTAGCAGTTAAAAGCTTTAAATATTTCTGTGATATTCTATTTTGTTATGTAGTTAATTTTGTCCTAATATGTCAATATAACCATCTGAAATATACGAAAGCATTCACAATAAGCTATTTGCAAATAAGTAATGAGGAATTTGTATTTTATTATGTAATACTAGATGGTATGTCAATCTATGATACAGGTTTTCTTATACTCATATATTACTCACCTCATCTGCCAGAAGTGATAATTCACTACTGTTTGCAGCATCATAATCATACAGGACCCTGGCCTTTCTGCTGCCACTGCACTCCTTGAGGTCATTAAGGTTGGTAGGAGAGGCGATTACTAGGCCACTTGTTGAAGTCAAGGTGGAAGAACCAATTACATTTGATGAAGCAGATGGCACAGGTGCCACAGAAGTTTGATTGTTGTTACAATAACTGGATGGAAAACTGTTGAAAAGAAAATGGCCCATTATCTATTTCCAAGCAACCAGAGCTTCTGAATGCCACCACGTGGTGGCAGTGTTTACTTTCTACCAACTTCCACTTTAGCTAAAGCTTTACAGTTGTCAGTAATATTTTAATGACAAAGCCCTATCTAACTTATGCCTCTTTGTCCAATTATAAAAGAGAATATTCAGGTATTTTTCAAATAGAAGTCCTTGAAAGTTTTTCAAAGTTGGCTTTATAAGTTAAAAAAATGTTATTTTTTCCTGAAAAAAATGAGCTTATCCTTAAAACACTTCCAAAAAACTTTACTAGTATGATTTATTAATCTGTTCCTGCCTTTGTGAGTTATTATTTTTTTGGTGAGTTATTAAATAAAAATATCAACGAAAAACTACTTCTATATTAGATACTATCACAAGAGTAAAGTTTTCTCAAGTTAATTCTTTGAGAAATATTTGAATAGCTAAACTCATTTTTTTAAAACTGATCCAATCACATTTTTATTAATTCAAATGACAGATATTTATGGAATTTCTACATGTCCAGAATCCATAGCACAAGCTTAAGACACTAAGATGAAACAATACCATTCCTTTATGGACATGGGGATTCAAATACTCTATTATGACTAATAATTATCATAATGAAAACTCAATGGGAGAACAGGGCAAATTTCACAAGTTCATTTTGTCTCATATTTTTTAAAGGGAAAAGTTAACACTACATTTCTCTAGTCCATTCACTTTCCATTCTTCTGATAACTATTTCGTATCTTTTTTTTTTTTAAGATTTATTTATTTATATATTCATGATAGACACGCACAGAGAGAGAGAGGCGCAGAGACACAGGAGGAGGGAGAAGCAGGCTCCATGCTGGGAGCCCAACACGGGACTCGATCCCGGGACTCCAGGATTGTGCCCTGGGCCGAAGGCAGGCGCTAAACCGCTGAGCCACCCAGGGGTCCCCTATTTCCTATCTTTTTAACCAATCTCAAAGTTCTAGCAATAGAACTAACCTTTATACTCAGCTGTTAAGTTGCTTCCTTTTTAACTGAGGAAAAAGATCAGAAAACACCTAAGCTTTTGTGATCATCTCTCTTACTACAGATGAGCTCTCTACACGTCTATGGCTAATTTCCTTACCTCTGAACAAAAACCTCACATTCTTTTTCCTCTCAAGGCTATCTAGCAATTCTTCCCTTTCTTTCCCATGCAATCATATTTCTCCATGTACTGTATCATTCCTATCAGTTTACAAATAGGCTTATTTCTCCTATCTTAAAAATCTGCTAGACCCACTTTCTCCTCTGGCTACTGCTTAATTTAACCGTTCTTCTTTACACTAGAACTCCTTTGAAAGACTTAAACTTATCACAGTCCATCTTCTATTCTTTTACATTATAGACAAGCTTTCGCCTCCATTGTTATACACAAACTACTCTTGTCAAGGTCAGTAATGACTTTAATGTTCTAAATCCAATGGTCTATTAACATTCCTCATTACACTTGACCTATATATCACAGTGGATCCTTTCCCTCTACCTTCCTGTATCTTCTTCACTTGACTTCTAGGCCACACCCTTGGTTTACATCTTACCTCACTGTTCATTCCTTACCACTGCTTCCTTAAACTGTGTTGGGAGTACTGCAGGGTTCAGCGCTAAGCCCTCTTCTTTTCTCTACCTATACTAACAATCTTTCATCTAGTCTCAGATTTAAATATCCTTGATAAGCTGACTACTCTCTAATTTACCCCCTAAACTCTAGTCCTGCATATCCTAAAACTGGGCATCACCATTTAAATATCTAATAGGTATTTCAAACTTCAAATGTCTAAAACTGGGCTTCTGGTATAAAACTGAGGTGATATACCACCCCAACTTGCTCCTCCTGTGACATTCCTATTTTAATTAACTACAGCTCCATTCTTTCACAGTTGTTCAGGCCAAATACCTGCAGTAAATCTGGACTCCTCTAAACCCCATATAAATGAAGGCTGACAGCAAATCCTGCTGGTTCTACTTTTAAAATACACCTGGGGTTTGACCGCTACTATCACATCTACCACAATCACCCTGATCCATGTCACCACCATCTCCTGACTGCATTATTCGCTAAATTATTGCAATCAGTTCCAAACAGGTCAGTTATAGCTTCCATCCATGCCCTCTAACATTTATCTTTAACAGAGCACCAAGAATGATCCTATTAAAGGCTAACTGAATCATATCACTCCTTAGCACAAAACTCTCCAAAGGCTCCTCATCTCTGAGTAAAGGCCAAAGCTCTATGTGTCCCAGCTTCCTGTTTCCTCAATTCATCTCCAGCCAAGCCCTCCTTTCTGCTGCTTGAACATTACAGCTGTGTTCCTGCTTCAGGGTTTTTGTACTTGCTGTACCCTCTCCTGAAGCATTTTCTCTCAAATGCCTGACTGCATGCTTTGCTTCCTCTTATCTTTCAAGTCTGTCTTCCCTATCTAGTATGTATAAAACCCCTACCCCAAACCAAGGTACTTCCCTGCTTTTCTCCATAGCGTTTGTCACCTTCTAATATACTATATAATTCATATACGTATTTTCTTCTTCCCTCTACCCTCAAATAGAACACAGGTTCAAGACAGAGATTTGATCTGTTTTGTTTACATTGTATCCTTCATGCCTGGAACAGTGCATTTTTTAAAATTAAAGCAAATATTTCCTATGGATAACAGGGTGCTAATGACAAAAAAACCCTCCTAATTTCTAATTCAGATTTTACTCTAAAGTTGGAAATACATTTCTTCCTCAGTGAACTCAGTTTCTCAGTTGTGATTAAGTATAGATATTTCTGAAGATAAAAAAAAAAAAAAGCTCGTTTCCCATATAATATGTGGTTTTTGAAGTCTTTACCCACGGAATTTTACTTGCAAATTTATAGTACAATTAGTCCTTGTTTACCACTGAAATCTACCTATGTCAATTTTGGGGAATTATGGTAGAAATAAAAATAAACAAAAAAATCCCCCAACCAAACAACAACAAAATTCCGAAAGACCATCTTCACCTTCTAAGAACTTTTGATACATTTAAAAAACTACAGACTTTCTGCCACTGTAGCTTGATATATTAAAACCTTCCAATTATTTAAAAATAAAATACATTTATTAATCTTGTGACTAGTGTTTCTGTTTCCTCATCTGTAGAATGTGGATACTAATACCTACCTTCACCAATGAGAGGATTATCATATTACATATGAGGTGTCTAGAGGAGTGCCTAGGGACAATTGGAGCCCTTCCTAATTGATTGCTATTATTCAGTTACTACTACTACTACTACTACCAATACTCTGTTATAACCATTAACATTACAACCTGGTTCTACTCTTCAGAAACAGCTCCTGGATTAGTGTGGAATTGGATGATCCATCCAGTTCTGCATTTGAATTAGCATAACTTGAAATACTAAAGACCTAAAATTCCCTAAGACTGATCTTTACCAGTAATCCAATTCTAGCACAGAGATAAGCTAGACTTTCTTCCCTAGAACAACAGCTCCAATTTCACTCTGTAATGTTTGAGCTTATCCAAAAAGTGCAATAACAAGCATTTTGTCTGAATGGCAGAGTTCCAAGCATTTGTGTGGCTTTAAGCAGAGTGCAAGTATGAATGGAAACAACAGTAATTCTTCTGCTGTGCTCACAGAGTATGAGGACAAAGTAAAAAGGAAGTACTAAGGCTTTCTGGGCTTAAAATAGTAGTAATCATGTGGGAATAAAGTGGTATTCTGCTGTTGGATATTGAGTACAATTAACAAAACTTCAAATACACAGAAGTAGAAATCTTCTATAAATACTGGAATAATCAATGGTATCAAGTTACAATTCACCTTTAAGATCTAAAATTGGTTTTCTGGGTGTGCCTAATTTTGTTCTAGGTCTAGTTTTAAAGGAGTAATATGCAGAAAAGAACACCAAAATGTTTTTTTTTTTAAAGTTATTCCTTGAAAAATAACTTCCCTTGATACTTCTTCAAATATTACATATCACTCCCTTGCTTTAATGGTTCCTCACTAAAAAAAACCTCAAACTCCTTTACTTATTTTACAGGGCATTGGTGACATGACCCTGTTTCACTCTTGTAGCCTCATCTACTATTCCATTCTTAATTCAAATACTATGTATGCTCCAACTAGAACAAACTGAACTTGTCACACTCTCTTTCCTCTCGCCTTTTCATATACGTGTTCTTTGTCTGAAGTATTCATCCTGGCCCCTTTCTTCACCTAGATTATTCCCACTGAAGTAATTTCATCTGTGAAACTTTGCCAGATCCACCTAAGTCACAATTAGATGTCCTTCACAAGAAACTGCACTTCTACCTTTCCACTTACCACCTGTCCTATCTGTCAATGGCTTTTATTTCTACCTAGACTTTAAATACCTTTAAAAGGTATTTAAAGGTATTTCTATCTAGACTTAGCAGAGACCATCATAGTAAACCAAATGATGTATAGGTCCTATACATCATTTTATTTCTAGTGTCACCTTACAATGTGAGCTCCATAAGGGTAAGCAATTTTGCCTCTACTGTTTGCTGATAGTAAACCTAGATTACAGAACACTGCACTGCCTAGTTTATGACAGGTATTCAACAAATATTTGATGAATGAATGACTGAGCTATGCATGTTATGTGCCATCATTTTGCTTTAAAGTATATTATAACATAATTTTTGTAATTACATCAGTGGCTTGAGGTCTTATAGACTATTCTAAAACTTTTTTTTAAACAATGAGCAAGTGAGTAATGAATAAGTATAAATTAGCTTATCTCTAACGGCAAATAAGTGTCATGTAACTAATCTTCCTCGACTAACTGGAAGATATTTGAGAAGTGAACTTCAACCACTTCTAAGTTTTTTTTTTAAATAGCACTAAAAAAGTATTCACTTAAATTATGTTCTCATCCCTTTAAATTCTTGGGTGCCAGGAGCACTCAAAATGGTTTGGTTACCTCACAAGTCTAACAATTACTTTCCTTAAAAAAAAAAAAAAAAAAAAAGAAGAAGAAGAAGAGGAGGAAGAAAATGGTCCGATTTTAAGCAAGCTAATATAAGCCTTTAATATAAGCAAGCTAATATAATCTTCACTTCTATTATGAGTTCATACGCAAAAATCTGAATTTCTTCTCTTATCAGAAGTTTCATGTGTGAAAAGGAAATTACAACCTTCCCAGTTGTTTTTGGAGGTCTAACATGTACTGGTAACATTGTGCATAGTAAGTCATCTGGGCTTCCACAAAGTCATTCAGACATCGGAGATGATGGGCCTGTAAAGGAAAGTTACAGTTACTTTTTAGCTCCATAATCTACTTAAAAGTGTTGAATTCCAAGGGGCAACAGAGCATAACACGTATTCAGGGAGAATCACCAGTAGCTAGCATTTTACTACAGGGCTTATCAAGGATGACTTCGGTCAACAGGGTAAGAACAAACTACAGAGCCAACAAAAACCAACAAATGGATTTGATGGTAGTGGGAGAACTAGGTGATGAGGTATATACAAAAATTTAAAATATTGCTTCATATATGTTGGAAAGGGCCACAATTCAAATTTCCTTCATAAATGAGTAAAAAAGAAGTTCAGTTTTTCCCCCTCAAAGTGCCTTAGGACCATCAAAGTCTTCTGCTTCATATCAATTTCCAGTGGAACACTCACGTGGGTACTGCTGATTCCCTCTAGCAGAAGTCTTGTAATCTCTGCTTGACGATCAAATTCACTTTGAGTTATTCTTAATTCCTGTTCAGACTTAAATTGGAACACAGTTTTAGAATTTTATTAGAGGACTTATTCCATTTTATGTACATTTGTTTAAATAGTTTAAAAATCTCCCAAGCAAACCCTAAATGAGAAGATGGCAATTCCCTGATTCTGCTTTGTGTTTAAACTGTCCCTGTTTTCCCACCTTAGCTTTTCTACATTACTCAATTCCTTACCAGTACCTCATTCAAAAGAATCTATTAATGTCAAAACTTAATGGCATATACATAGAAGCCTAGAAACACTACAATGGAATAATCAATATACTGTCGTTAACATTTTAAGAATACTAGTTTATATGTACAAAATATTTCAAAATATTTTCAATTATTACTACAGCTATTTCTTTTTTTTAATACAGCTATTTTACTTTGAAGTTAAAGATAGTCTTTAATCTCAAATGAAAAAACTTCAGAGTGAAGCCATAGGCTTTTAACCTCCTTTGTTTAGTTACCAAACATATTGTTTCTAGAACACAGTTCTTAGGTTATTTCAAAGGAGTCTTACATAAATGACATTTTTTTCAGTTTTCTTTCTGAACTTTGCATAAAATATGCCGTAAATACACTATTATCTACAAGATATGCTAGGGTTTTTCTGCGAGTTATGGGGGAACCTTTAATCAGTAGTGTGCTGGTAAACTGGCTGGGAGTGGGGTGGGGGAGTTCTAATGTGCTGATTTTCATGGTACAAATACTCCAACCACAGCTCATTTCAAGCTACCAAGGTGAAGTCATTAACCTCAGGGCTGGAAAGCAGTGAATATAATAGCACACCACTATTACCAGCTTTAGCCCTCTGGTACAGGTTCAGTGCTGGGACAAAATTGTTCACTAAAAAAATCAATAGGACCCAAAATAGTAAATACTGGCAAAAAACCATCCTTTGTCCTGGGATAAACCTTTACCCAGAGTGGGTTGGTAGTAAATGACGAAGAGAAAAGTAAAACCTCTCAGCTTACGCAAAATAGCTTATCACACACTGGGCATCATTGGTGATAATGTCATTAATAATGCTATCTTCTACTACCCTCCAGGATAAATAGCACCCCCATCCAAGTAATTAAAGTATTACCAAGACTGTAGTAAGTATAAAAACTAGGTTTAAACCTTCTTCTTGCACACCCCATCTCTCTTTCCTTCAACCTTTGGTGGCAATAGTTAACTTAGTGAGCCATTCAAAAAGGAAGTAACAGCAAAACAGATATCCATAGCTCTAATCATTCTCATCCCACTGGCAACAGACCTTGCAAAGGTGATTAAGAAGTGACCACTATATTGGATTTATGGAAATAAGTTTGAATTACTCAATAATTCAAGAATTAAATTTAAATTTTACTTGACTGAAGCCAGAATGCATGGTACTTTGATAACAGGGCTGAAGTAAGCTTCATCTAGAAGCTAGTATAAAGTCGAAAATCAAGTCCCAGGACAAGAGAATAATCAATGATCTCCCTAAGTGTAAAGGAAAACCAATCACTTCGGTGTTACATTTGCATTATTTACTGTTCTGCTTGGTTGAATACAAAAAGGTTTTAATAGAAGTAACTATAGTAAACCAAAAATAAATGAAGTTTCGAAGTAAACAAGACTAGTTCCATGTGGGTCTGACCTTGAAAGTACAATCTGATTTAATGTCCTTTAGGAGAAAAGGCAGAAAATCCTTCTAAATGGCAGTATTTCTGTGTAAGATGTAAGCAAGTGAACTAAGTAACAGATTGGGAAGTTTGAGCATGAAGTAGACATGTTTTAGTTAAGAACACTGAATAAAAAGTTATAAAAGTAATCTCACAAAGGATAAGGGGCAGTCTTCCATGTTTGAGCAACAATTATTTAATTATGAAGAAAGGCACCATATTATGAAGCATAGGAAGTTGATCTCTGCACAATTTGTATTTAGAAAAGGTAAATGACAGGCAGGAAATGAATCTCACTTCTTGAACAAGTTTCAATGTATGCCTGGGGTGGTTGTAGTTCAATCTCCCAAACTATTTCTACTTCTGACACATGTAAAGATCATAATTAACCTGAGAGGTAGAGGTAACTGAAATAGGTTTGGCATAGTCAATTTACTTAGAGAATGATCCATACTAGAAAGATAAAAAGGGTTTAAAGAAAATGAATTTAAAGGGTTTTTATTCTGTCCTCCAGAAGACTTCATTCTCTGACACAGTTATACTGTTAAAGAGACAGAGTTCTAGGGAAAAGATGTTCCTGCCAGAGTACATGACAGCATAACTTGGGTTCAGGAGGCAAGAATTCTTTGAGGCTGTAACTTGAAAAAATGGAAAGAATTTGTTGATCTATGATATCAGGAATGGGTAACTGTAAGGTAGAAATTTTGGTCACACTTTTGAGGCATTTATTGTGACGTTCTGCTATTTTTTTTTCTAAAGGCTTAAGAAATCTTAAACTATTCAAGGAATATAAAGTTTTAACCTTACATATATTTTAAATTATAAAAATGGTAGAAGTGAGAAGTACAGAAGAGAAAAATCTCCCCAATACATTGATATATTCTTAAGTTTTACACACATATAGTAAATACATGTTTTCATGAGTTTCCCCCCATTATATCACATACTTCCTACACTTACAGAGACTGCAGGATCAGGTATCTTTTGGTGTATCTGTATGCTAACCAGAGTGGAAGAGACCCTGGTTTTTTTTTTTTTAATTTTTATTTATTTATGGATGATAGTCACAGAGAGAGAGAGAGAGGCAGAGACACAGGCAGAGGGAGAAGCAGGCTCCATGCACCGGGAGCCCGATGTGGGATTCGATCCTGGGTCTCTAGGATCGCGCCCTGGGCCAAAGGCAGGCGCCAAACCGCTGCGCCACCCAGGGATCCCAGAGACCCTGGTTTTATTGTTCAACCTATATTCTCTTCCACGTTAACTCTGACCTCTTTTCAAGGTAAAGGGTTCAGGAAAAAGAATCAAAGGCCAAAGGAGAACTGTAACCAAGTTGATAAATGGATTTCACAAAGGGTGATGAGAGTGGGCATCAAAAATTTCACAATGGATTTCCAATTCATAGAATCAAAACCCCCAGAACCTATACATGGAATAGACTATACTGTCAGCAATCCTACAAAGTCAGAAAATAAAAAGTTAATGTGTGTGTGTGTGGGGGGGGGGGGAGAGTCAGAGGCCACAATTACCACCTGCCTTCAATCTTCAGCACTGTCCACATCCACATCTGGAGGTCAAATTTTGGTAGACTTGAACAGGAGGAGCAAATAAAAAAATGCTTCTGAAGACCCTAAGTAGTATTTGAAACAAATCTGCACTAAAGTCATAACTTTATTCCTTAAATTCCTGCTTAACTATTTTATTTTCTATCCTAGAGAAGATAAGAAATGATCACACAGAAAGAGGGACTACAGTAGCAGTCATATGGACAGCTTCTAGAAGTGAGAGTCTGACACTAAGAGAGGAGACAACATATTTCAAAAACAAACAATGGATCTAATTGTTACACAATACAATAATACACATTCATACCCTAATTATACATAAAATTAAATATATGCTATCCTGTATTTAGTGGAGTAAATAGAAAATATCTTCAAATAAAGTGACAGAAGACTTAGCTCTGGTGCTGGAGAGCAAAAGCTTCAATTACCCAGGAAATTCATTTGTGTGACATATTCAATCACTGAATATACAAGACATGGTGTAACCTGTATTTTACATAATTGTCACGTAAGTAAACCAAGTATTTAAACTGTCTTCTGGCAAGACATTGTAAATATTACTCTTAATGTAATATTGTACCTAGTATTTATCAGACTATGTGCAAAGCACATCTCTGCAGTGTTGTTTCACTGTTTTGTGGAGCTACTCTACTACTAGGCAAACAGATCTGAGGTCTCTAAAAATAATTTTCAGATTTCATAAGACATTGTAATAACAAAGACCATGACTGGCCCCCTGGCTGCTGTCCAATATTTACTAAATGCATGACAATTAAATTCTTGTTTCATAATTCTGTGGTTTAATAATTTACTTACTTTTGTCACTTCCTCTGCCCAAATCTAGCCAGCATTAAAAATTAGAGAAAAATATAGAGCATGAAAGAAAGTTGGAGTTTAACATTTTCTACAACTTAGTATAGAAAAATGTAATTATTTTAACTAAAAGAGTATACTTTCCTTTTCCTGAATCACATTAACATAGTTAACTAAATCAGTACAGCTTAACATACTGTGAAAGTATGCCTTTAGATACATCAATACTATTGATTTTTGAATCTTATACTTATTTTATGTTACTAAGTAATGGTTTTCTACACTTGATCTTAGCCAAAAGGCCGAGAAGCGATTAAGTAATGGTTTTCTAAAACTGGGAATATTTAACCTTATTTGTGGTTCTCTCATCTGTTAAATGAGAAGTTTGGACTAAACAATTTCTAATTTTCATTTAGGTCTAAAATTCTAGAATTTTAGGAAACTAAAATAAAGCAAGGATAGACAAAATAGCCACTTTGGGGCACAATAAATATGAGATATAATGAATTTAAAATTACCAGAGTTAAACCCATCTTACTATAAGTAGATGACATCAGTAGCAAAACAAATCCCTAGTAAGTGAAACAAAGTCTTACTAATTGTTTAGGATATTTTTACCTAAAATAAAAGGAAACCTATGATTTATAAAAGAAGTTACCAATGACTGAAATAGTCTCACACTTTTCATTCACCTACACATAGGACAATGGAAATAAATGAATGCATTCTCTTGCTATCTAAGGAAAGTTCTAATTTAGCCAGGGTTTCAATAATTGTAGTAGAACAAAAATGTATTTTCAATATTCTGTACATAAACTTCCCTATTACATGGATTTTTCCCCCCTTCTAGCTCAATGCTAATGGAATAAAAGCAGTCAATTAACTGTGACTTTATTATTAATTGTATTGCAGATTCCACACCACATCTATGGAAGTACTGTATCTGGGAGAATAATGCCAAACACTACCATCTATAAATCTTTATTGGCCATGAGTTTTTGGGCTGTATTCAGATTTTATGAATTTCTATTTTGTTAAATATTAAAATTACTAACATCTCAAAAATTTCCCCAAATCAACCTCAACATATATATATTGGGTATTACATAACAATTCTCATTTCTGATTCTGGCCCAAGGCATTCACTACTCTGCAACTTTTTTGAGTAAATTAGTACTGGTTAGGGAATGGTCCTTGCTATTACAACAGAGATACAGGGGTAGATGAGGGGGCGGGTGGTATGTCTTGGCCTGAAACTGAAGAAATTAATTCTATGTTGAGTTTGGGTAAAAATTAAGGTAAACATTGAGGATATTGAAAAACAAAGTAAATCTATAAACTTTACACTTTAAGTAAATTTTGTTAATTTTCTTTGCCAAATGTGAAAATAGAAAATGCCAGTTAAATGGTTGTCTTTTACTAGGTATAAAAGGCACTATATATTTATATATAAATTCATATTCTACGATCTGAATTTGGCATAGCTAGTATATTTGCCCAATTAGAACACAAAATTTCTTTTCTTCAAGTTCCAGTATTACTTCAACTAGTATTCCCTGTAATTTTTGTTGGACTAATGAATTCATTGGCTTTGACTACTTTAGTCTTTTACAGGCAGATAATAGCAAGAGAAGGCACTTTACTCAAGATGTAGAAAACACAGTAGGCCAACAAACCTTCAGCCATTTTACATGCAGGAAGTTGAGCATGTAAGAGAAATTTACCATATTGTTATCTCCTTCAAGGCGAGCTGAGTTTAGTTGCTTAAGTGCATAGGTAAGAGACAAAGAACACATTATACCAATGAACACAGTGAAACAAATTACTTCTTCACATTAAAGAACACACAAGTATTAAGAGAGCTGATAAAATGTTTTTTTATTTAATAAAAAAACAAAACTATGCTGTTCTATGGAATTTCACATAGCGGTGCCTACTCAACTTTTTCAAAAGATTCAAAATTTTAAAGACAACATGGCTGATGCTTGGTTTTATATTAGAATCATTTAGGGAAAACACATCATTTAAAAACTGCCACAGTTATCTACAATTTTATTAAATTTTCACCTCCGAAAGCCCTTCTGCCTATCCACAACTTTCCTATTCAAAGATCATTTCTATTTTATGAATGTATGATGCCTTCAACCACGTTCTCTTTCAGTTAGTCTCAGCTAGGTCTTGGCATACTCTGAAGAAATATGAAAGGCATGTCAATCCTTGTATTTTTAATGAGCTTTAAATTCTTGTATTAAGGCTAAGTTATATGATGGTAGTCAATTTACAGATTAAAGATTTAGACATTGGGATGCCTGGGTGGCTCAGCGGTTGAGCGTCTGCCTTTGGCTTGGGGCATGATCCCGGGGTCCTGGGATCGAGTCCCATATGGGGCTTCCTGCATGGAGCCTGCTTCTCCTTCTCTCTCTGCCTCTTTCTGTGTGTCTCTCATGAATTAAAAAAATAAAAAATAAAACAAAAACAAAACGAAACAAAAAACAAAAACATTTAGACATTTGTGAAAATGTTTAAGTGGGCAGAGGGACATTCACAATACTGTGTTACTTGAAGATGCGCTTTCTACACTTGTATACCCAAAACTGAGGTCTAAACCTTTAAATATTAGAGAGCTGTGAAACCAGATGATTTTTTAACTTCCCATTAACAGAAATCTAAAATAATTTAAAAGAATTTATGTAAGACTAAAGCTAGGTTAATGAATGTGCAATGCCTTATAATTTACAGGGGTAAATTTTATTTGTCTTTGCTTCTTTGACATAAGTTTTATACTATTTTCAAAACTGTTTTTGTTCACTGTGAAATATTCAAGTAGGTTTTCTTTCTATTCAATTGTATTTTTGAGAAATGCCTCTGATATTGTTTTACCATTCTTCAACATGCTAACTAATAAAATACAAGTTAGTAAAGTAGCAATGCTGGGTACAGGCATAAATATTTTACTGGCAGGGCTAAGTAATCAAAAAGTTCAATGTAGTATACTAGATTGTGAACTGAGGGCAGTAGAGATTTTGCCTTATTTATCTCTGAATTCCTCAGGAAAGTGCCTTTATAAAATAAACATTTGATAAATACAGATTTTTTTTTAAAAGATTTTATTTATTCATGAGAGACACAGAGAGAGAGAGAAGCAGAGACACAGGCAGAGGGAGAAGCAGGCTCCAGGCAGGGAGCCCGATGTGGGACTCGATCCCGGGACTGCAGGTTCATGCCCCGAGCTGAAGGCTGTGCTAAACCGCTGAGCCACCCAGGGATCCCCGATAAATACAGACTTTAAAAAGAGGTCACAAGAAACTAGTAAATGAATTTTAAAAAAGTGCTGATATGCACAGGTCCCAAAAGCTTACTTGCAGAGAAATAACCACTCACATAACAATCCATGGAAATTTATAAAGTGAATACAAAGAAAATTTGAGATTACAGTAATCTCTTCAAGCTGTCAACTAGGAAAGAGGAAAAGTGTCAAAGAAGAAAAAAAGCAAACACAAATTCCTAGTGGTTTCTATTTTTCTGTATTCTTCAGGTAAACAAAAAATACAGAAAAAAACCCCACCACCAAACATCACAAAAAAATAGGCATGCCTCAAGGCTTTATGTAATAATAAACTAAGAGGACTTTTCCTTCCTAAAGTATTTCAGACTTACTGCTATAAAGTTTGAAGAAAAACAAGTTGGTTATCTAGGGGAAAAGAACACAACTACCATCAGGAAATGTAAATTTTTGTCTAGACTAGTATTTTAAGTATTTGACTATGTTAAATTTGCTTTATGCCATATATAAATTCTAGAAAAGCTGTGCATAAGTGAAACTGTTCAATAAAGCCATTTCTGTAATTTTTCATTTTAAATGTAAACTCTCATGGAAAAAAAAATCTGTACTCAACAATACTCAGTGCAGGAAAACTGTCAGGATCTTTTCTGGATGTATCAAAAGGAAACATCTTTCAAAATTTGTCTACCATTACCTTCAGTTCTCACACATTCTAATAGCAATGGTAAAATAATGTAGAATAACCGAAAGACCTTATATGGTGGTCAATCTGAAAGTTTTCTGGAAAATTTCCAGGCAAAAAAGTAGATTATCATTATTCTGTGATAGTGCTTGTTAAAGAAAGTTTTGTACTGACACTTGGTGACAGTATTCTCATTCCACAATCATTACTGGGCACATGTAGGCATTTTGAATGGAGAGATTTTGTTCTAGGCATTTTGAATGAAGTTTGACTTATTTCCAAATGATCCTTACTTTTCCTAACATTTTCTCCTGATTATGAAATTATAGGAAATAATAATTTAATAATGCTGCCAACTGTTTGGTTTTGGAATTAATCTTGGTGACAACTCCTTTAGTCAATCTGACTCACATGTGGAAAGGGAGTCAAATTTAATGTTTAAGACACACATGAGCAATCTCAAACTTGATTCATTCTCATCTTAATTACTATTTGTTTTCCTATTTCAAATATAATAAACCTAGCCCAAAAGAATATTTGCCATCATCACTGAGGATATTTAAGGAACATGATAACAGCTTTAGGAGCCCTTAAATTTTTATTTTTTAGCAACAGGTGTATCACTGAAATAATACTGCCTGTTGATAGGACTTCTTTGCAGTGATTTGGATGCATTAAGTTCTGATAAGTTTGTTTAAATACAAAAACAATACCTAAAGTCATATTCTAGTCTCAGTAATGGACTGCAGTTTGCATGATATAGGTGTAAAATATTTTACAAATTTTAAAGTTATCAACCTAAGATGGTTTTCTATTAAAAAAAAACAAAAACCCCACTACTTACTGAAGCTTTAGTTTCTGCAGCTTTTGCCTTTTTTAGTCTGGTTTTTGCAGCATCCAAATCCAGTCTCTTATTTTGTAATAGTTTCCTTTCTTTCTATAAATATAGAAAAGAAAAAAATAAAGGGTAATGATGCTAACCTCCAGTAAGGGCATACATATTTAAAGTATATTTCTCCATTAAATATATGAATCTTCTGATAAACAAAGAGCAATGATTACAAAATTTGTTATGAAGGGACACTTGACTCCTTTTTCTTATGGTTTTTACTTTTAAAATAATGGAGACATGCTAGATGCTTGGAAATCTGGGAAAGATGGCAGTGATGTTAAAAGACTAATTTTAACATTTTGCGGTTTTGCCATCAGGGAATGTTTCGCTCTATCTTCTTGATTGTCACAATTTTGGGGGTGGCGAGAGGTTACTGGGTAGAAGCCAGGATGCTGCTAAACATCCGAAAATGCAGTATAGCTTCTACAACAAAGAACTATTTGACCCAAAATGTCAGTAAGTGCCCAAGTTGATAAAGTGTTTCAAACAGATTATCTATGTGCCTATGGTAAAGGAGATATGGGCCTAGGGCAAAAGTTCCTTGATACCCCAAGTGATTACCTCAAGGACTGGCAGGCTCCTTTCATGTGCCATTGCACTGAAAACAACTCTACTCCAAAAGGGAGTTTCAAATTTATAGAATGAATAATGAAAAAACATTAGCATGGCATCTTAGAATTACTCACGGGAACTTCAAAATAATAGGTAAGTTTATAAAAATTCACTGCTTCCTTTATTAATTCTCAGATTTCATATATATTTCATCCTACAGTCTAATATCTTTTAAGTCATAATTTAACTTGGTGGTTTTTCCTTTTTCTGAGGCAAAATACTTTTTACTCAGAGACAAATTCCTTGTAAACACACTGAGTTTCTAGAATATTTTGTAATAAGAAATCTGCAATTTAAAGTTTAGTTTTTTGATTAAGAACAATCTTGCAAGCATCTAAGGAAAAAAAAAATACCCAGATCTCCACTCGAATGCTTAAAAAGAAAAAAAAAAAACACACACTAAAAAGTAATTATTAGGCTTGGGAAAGTTATATTTATTTCTTCAGCAATAAAACACAGCTGTGTGAAGAGATGGTAACAGACTCCTAGGGATGCAAACAACAGGAAGTTGAACAGCCAGAAATATAGTAATTAAGTTTCTGGCTTCCAGTTTAAATGAATAGCTATACTGCTATAGAGATTTTTCTGCCATATTTTCATAATAATTTCAGGAAATTCTCTACAAATCTTAGTGCTAGTAATGAACAAGAATTGATGTAAAGTAATCTCAGTAACACTGCAGGGCCACAAAAAGGGAGTATATAGCTTCAATAGTTCTTTACTTTGGTTAGTTTTGTGTTCTGCTGAATATGAAACTAGCTAGATTAAATTTCTATTCTACTACATCTACACGGTCAGTAAAAGGGCAAATCACTCATTAAAAAGTGTAATCATATTTATAAATTATTTTACTTAAAAAAAAAGGGAACATTTTCCAACTCACAGCAATTGTTTTGTAATCTCCTTCTATAAAGTTTCTTAAAGGAGTGAGAAAATTTAAAGCTGATGTTTGTATTAGCTCTCTGTCTGCTGTTCCAATTCGTTTTTGTGTTTCTCCACATTTAATAAGGGCATTACCTGCAAAGGAAAAAAGTGGTGGGTTTTTTTTTTCTTTTTTTACCATTTTCTGGTAATGTCAGAAAGTAAAATCAGCAATCTGATCTGCTTTAAAGTTAGTTGTCACTTGTTTACTTAAAAAATCAAAGAGAATAAACTTGTTAGTTTTATTCTAAAAGTAAATTTAAGACTATAAATATCTAAATGAAAATGACAGAGGTTCATGAAGTCCTTATCATAGTTAACTGTACCAATTCAATAAATGGAAAAAAGAGAGTACACTAAAAATTTATAATCACAGCTCAAACAGTGGAGATATGTTTAGAAAAGCATAATGCTTAAACTAGTTTCATAAGTAGATCAAGTCAAAATTTATTTCTGTATTATGCAGGGGCCTCAAGAATCTTTAAATAATATTGTAAATTTGTATCTTAAGTTAAAGAAAAATCCATGTTTAGCAACAGGTATACCTTAATGTTTAAATAAGACAAGTACAGTGGAAAATAGAGCAAAAAGAAAATCACAAGACCAAGGTTCCATCTACTTCTACCTCTAATAAGCTTTAACTCTGCATCTTAATTCTTCTATGTTAGGATGAGATTAGATCTGATTGGCAGGGAAGATAGTATAGTCATTAAGAGCTTCATGTCTGGATACAGATCTCAATCTGAATTACTAGCTGTATGATCAGACATGAATTATGTAATCTAAGACTCATTTTCCTTGTCTTCAAAGTGGAGATCACAGAATTTATATTATAAAGTAGGACATAAGTGAAGATTCATGGAAATAATACGTATGTAGTGTTTAGACCAATGCTTGAAATACTCGATTGTTCGCTATTATCGGTTACTAATAAATAGATTCACAAAGCCCAATTCCATTCATCAGGGTACAGTCAATAGAATTACTACAAATGAAAGCAGATTTAACATAGTAAAAAAGGAAAAAATTTAGAAGGCTTTTGAATGTTCGCGCTCCACGAGGCCTTCAGCTTGGTGAAGAAAAAGGGCTGGGTATCTTTCATGTACCTTTATGACCTCCAGCATCTAACTGCTTCTGGCACAAGTAGGCACCAAAAAACCTGTCTAATGCATAAAATTTTTCTAAAATTAATAGTTAAAATTAAGAAAAAAAACTATAGAAATTTTAAACATTTTCAGATTTCTGAAAAGTACCTTTTGAAGACCACAATGTAGAAGTTTCATTTGTACATCCAACAGTTAGTCAACGGATTAAGGCCATTCATTATATGGTATTCAGGTTAGTTCCTTCTGACATAACGTTAACTATTAAAACTTTAAGTTCATTTTCTTCCAGAATTTATGAACTATTTTATAAATCAGTAATGTATGTAGAAAATCATTTATCTACCATTTCATACCCACAAAAGGAACAATTTCTTACAGAAGTCTTTAAAAAGAGAATTATTAGCCAGGAACGATAGGAAAAGAAGCTACAGAAATCTGAAATTGTCTTATAGTCTGAGAAAATTAGATTTGAGGGATAATAAGGCTTCAGAGTTATATATTTAAAAAGTCAACACAGCAACTACGAAGCTGGCATAACTATAAAACATAATAGAAAATCTGAATTATGTGAGGAAAATAGGAATGAAATGTAATCCAGATATACAAAGATACCACTGTTAACATTTCTGTGGTTCTAACATTATTGAGTAATGAAAGCACGAGTGGTGTGTTCAAATACTATGAGCCAGGCATTTCATTATAAAAATAAGCCCTCAAGAAAGCTTTCAAAAAAATCATCTAGAGGAGACATATGTAAAAATAAATTACAATATATCAAAAGTACTACAACAGAGATTGCAAGATTCAATGGGAGTACAAGTGAAGAATTCATTTAACTTTTTAGATCTGAACAGATAAATGTGAATTCTCAGAATAATATATACTTAAATATATTAGGTATTAAACTGAACTCTTCATATTTCCTGGTGACCTGTATTTCTCCCTTTATCCAAAATTTAAACATAAAAAATTTGAAGTTAAAATGTATTCTAATATTAGGTAAATCATTAGGTTAATGATGTCTCTAAGTAGTAAAAATCTAAAAGTAAAGGTATTTTTTAGTAGATCTTTTTGCCTTTTGCTTACCATAAGCTGTTCCTGGGCCAAATTCAGTCCCTGCATCAATCATATATTGTCCCAAAAGTTCTGGGTTGTTTATACGACTTGGAGCTTTTCTATCCAGTTTCTCATAAACAAACTCTTCTATCCTGGCATCTAGGAGAAAGGTTTAAAATTATCAATGATTTCCAAAAAGCACAACTGTTTAAAAAATTGTTTTTCCCTACTACCCATTTACCACCCTGTAAAATAAACATGAAATTAGCATGCTTTTTAAAGTATATATATCTTAATACATGATTTTTAATTTTTATGTTAGAATATTATATAGCTCTAAGAAATTTCAGAAATTTGATAACATATTTTGGCACAAAAATATTTACTTAAAGTAAAACTATGATGAGTATTCTATGGGATTCTAAAAGTGCTGGTATTCACTTAGTTATCTAAGTGAGTTGCCTTTACCCCAATCATACAGAGTCTGATTTTTTAACTTTGAACATATGTTCATTTCAATTTCAAAACCAGGGATTTCCAGCTTTGAAAATATGGCTATAAATTATGTATTAGAACCAAAGAGTCACACACTTCTAAAACTTTTACCATGCTTTTGCTTGCTCACATGCTTTCTCTCCTTCCTAGAGTCTAAATATAGGCACGGGAATTTAAAGAATAGAACCTAGGCCTGGAACAGTCACAGAGAGAAAACAGCAACATGATGTCTTGGCTTAATTGGATTTTGTTTAAAATACAAGATATATAGATATCTCTCAGCATGTATTCACTCAAAAGATTTCACCAGTAAAAATAAAGTTAAAACAGGAGATAGGTTAAAAGCAATAGAAGAATACTGGTTTACTTGGAAAGGAAAAAAACAGTAAAATCTGAATGTTTAGTTAGTGTAATATACAAAATATTCACACACTGCTGCCTAATAGTGAAGTATTTCAGAGACAAATGAGATTAAAGTCAGTTTCCAGAAATAATGATTAACTATAAATCAAATTTACAATAGAAAGAGAAGCTAAAGAAAAAATAGGTTCCTCTAAGCATCTCAGATAATTCCTCTACAAGTGGAAGTTTCATACTGTGCACTGAAAACTTAAAAAGTGAGCTGACCCAATAACACAAACACTTGATGAGTCAGCATAAGCATTTATTATAATACATAAAATAGGCTGTTGGAATAACACTCAGTTTTGTGGTAGACTCTGGAGCAGCATAAGAAGTTTTTAAGCAGGAATTTTAAAACCTTTAAATTAGTTAAAACCAAAATGAGTCAGTTCAAAACATAACTAACCATTTAAAAGAGGTTAAACTACATTTCAGAATTTCATTTTCTGACTGAGACTTAGCTTTGCATTTCTGACTGAGACTTAGTTTTGCATTTCTACCTATTTGGTCAAAAGTTTAAAGTTGAATCTATGCTGACTTCATTCAAGTTAATAAAATATCTGGCATACTTTAAGTGAATGTTCAATAGACCATATAAAATCTTAAAAAACATGTGGCTAATGCTGCTATAATGTAATATATATTCCTGAAAAACCCTAGGTTCTGGAAAATCATATCCTAAAAATAACAGCGCTTACAGGAAAGAGGTTTGGGCCTGACCACTCATAATCTATGTAACTTTATAATCCGAGCACAAACAAAAAATTCAATTATTTACTACTTCAGACTTAACACACTTACCTAAAATTGTATTTATATGACCCATTGTAACTTTGTACTAATGAAATTCCTCTGCTTACCAATTGTGTATGAGTTTGCTATTCAAAAATACATGTAGGACAGACTACTCATGTGAAGAATTCTGGACAGAGCAAGGAACATAAGGAAAAATGTTTACTACTTTTTTTAAGGTGCCCTGGTATGTAATTTGTAGCTTTACATAAGTAAGAAATACCACATGGTATTCAAAGACAACAGGCCTCACTCAAAGTGTAAAAGGCCTATTTCAAAAGGTTACCATGATTTAATTAAAATGGTACAGAATTACTAATATTTTACATAATGCTTCAGGTTTGTAGAACAGCAACAAAGTTTAAAGCTTGGAACTTAAGTTAGTATCTAAAAGTAAGCTTATAGCATTTTACAACATGCTCACAACAGTGGGGAAAATAGGAAGGAAACCATTTGCAGCCTTTGTTCTTCAGTTTTGGTGTGTAAAGCTCATAGTGAAAAGACTGGATGCAACAGACTCTAACTCAATTTCCACTTCTAATTAGCTATGCTACACTATAAAATGCTAACTTGTGATTTGCAAGTAATAAACAATTGTTGTGTACCGTACTTGATAAATTAGTGAGATGAGTGATCTCAAAAACCTTAGAGTGGTGTGAAAATCAAATGGAATAATTTATGTAAAAATATAAAATTTAATATAAACATAAATAATTGGTAACTGTGAGTTTCCATATAATTTTCCCTTAATTATTTAGGGATAATTCTCCCCTGTAAAAAAAAGATTAATTTATTCTCATAGCACTTAACTCTTAAAATTAAGTCACTCCTAGGGCACCTGGGTGGCTCAGTCTGTTAAATGAAAACTCCTGACTTCGGCTGAGGTCATGATCTTAGTTTCCTGAGATTGGGTCTTGAGTTGGGCTCCAAACTGAGTTTAGGATTCTCTCTCCCTCTCCTTCTGGGGGAGGGGGTGCTGGAGGGGGCACTAGCATACTCTCTCTTTCTCTCAAAAACAAAAGCCGTTCCCTGAAATTGAGTTTTCAAGAGGATTCTACAAAGGCATGAAAAACTATTAGCCAATTTGTTAGAGGATATACAAAGAGGTGTTTATCACCCTCTTCTTTGCCAAAAGTGCACACACACGCACACCCACACCCCAAACACCCACACCCCAAACACCCTAAAACCATAAACCAAAAGGCTGCTTTCTAACAGCCATCAAAACCTGTTTTTCTTTTTTTAACATAAAAAAACACTACATTTTAATCAGATTAGTCAGTAAGGTAGACAAATGTAAAAAGTTTCTTACTTGGATTTGGCTGCAATAACACTTCAGTTTGTTTCATTATTTTTTCTGTCCATATTTTGGTACATTCAGCTTTGCTAAGAAGGTTCTCTAAGTGAGCATCCAATTCTGTCTTCTCTGCCTGGCCAAGCTTTTCTTCTGTGAACTGTTATTAATTATAAAAAAAATTAAGTATACCTCAAATACATTTTAGGAACCTATACAAATAATTAAAAACTAAAATCCAGACAATCCCGAGCATAAAAATAATTGTAAACCATTGTATTGAATGTGTGGGGTTTTTTTTTTTTTTTTGCCCCTATGGAAACTTATCTGTAGTACTTATGTTGACCTTCTCTTAATTCTGCTAAAATGGATGGTGTGAACTCTATAGAAAATTTAGCATACTGTGTAGTATATAAAGTATATATTTTTACATTCAAAGGTAGGATAGCTTAGTGGTAAGGAGTAAGAACTTTGAATCAGTTGGTGCTGAATTCAAATCCTGACTCCACTAATTGTATGACATGAGCAGACTTTTGAGTATTTTTTTAAAGGTATTTTCTATCATTAAAGAGAGACGATACATATTGTACAGTGTTTTTAGAATTAAGGGCATGTATGTAAACGACTTTTTTTAGTACCTGGTAATTATTATTTTGAATTTAAAAAGAGCTGCTTATGTTTAATGTGGCTTTGCATTAATGGCACTTTAATGACACCTAGATAGGCCTTTATGGGATGTTCTGGGAAACTGGGAAACTATCATTTGTTTCTTCAGGACATGTTTTATAGACTAACTTTTAGAACTTATGAATATCCTATTCATATTATAGAGGGGAACTTTAAAGATTGTAATATATAGTTAAATATACTCAACATATCCATTCTTATTATCTTGAGTGTGTTGGTTTTTGAGGAAAGGCAGCACTGCCCATATAAGAACAAGGAAGTAAAAAGAATTCCATGTAGATTTTATGGAGACTTTGAAAACTTTAAATATTAGAAGTGATGACTCAGGCTGTTTATCATGTATATTTTTCCTCTGGAATATGTGGCTTTTTCCCATCGTAACAGGCATATAACCCTAGCACTAATTCTACACTCATTAGTCATGACTCACTTCTGGCTAAAAGAATACGTTTATCTTGTCTCCCCCCCCCTTTCATTTCTTAAAATATATTCTGCTGCTCCATTTTTCTGAGTTTTATGTTTCTTTTAGCATTCTTCTTATTGGTCTAATACTTTCTGCTGATTATCTGTTAACATCTTTAGCTAAAAAGTCCTCTAGAATGTTGTTCTTAAGAGTTTGGTTACAACCCCCCACTGAAAGTCTTGTTCAGGGCCTAGAAATAAAAGCTTCAATAGCTTTTGTAAAGCCTTAGGTCTTTTTGAGACTGGCCTGTGGCCAAGCCCTGACCCAGTGGGTGGAATGGAGAAGAGTAGTTCCAAAGCTATTGCCTAAGCCCACAATCTTGTAGTGTACTGTAACTGAGGATAGGAATAGGAGATGCCCTAGGCAAAAGATCAAAATCCTGATGCCAAGGTCAATTGGGTAACTACTTCAATTTCACTCTTAAGAAAGAACTATGGTATTCTCTACATATCCCTGAAGATTAGAGGCTACAGACCTTCTATAGAGGTCTATAGAAGACCTAATCTTCTAAATAGATTAGGATTTTACAAGTTCAAGGTCTACCTCTAATGGTTAAATAGATTACCTCTCGGATAAAGCAATCAACAGAAGGAAAAGAAAAGGGGGAATACACTCAGGTGAACATCACCTATAAAGGATGATCTAACAGCAGAGAAAAAATCCTAACTTTTAGCACCTTAATAAGAAAGGAGGGAACGCCTGGGTGGCTCAGCGGTTGAGCATCTGCCTTTGGGCCAGGGCACGATCTCAGAGTCTCGGGTTCGAGTCCCATATCAGGCTCCCTGAGAGGATCCTGCTTCTCCCTCTGCCTTTGTCTCTGCCTCTCTCTGTGTGTCTCATGAATAAATAAATAAATCTTTAAAAACAAAAGTATATGTATTTTTTTATTCCATTCATTCCTTCAACAAATATTAAGCACCTTCATATGTGCCAGGCACTAGTTTAAGCACAAGGGTTTCAGCAGGAAAAAGACAAAAAACAAAAACACCAAAACCCCCACACACCAGACAGGTTTCTGGTCTTAGGAAGCTTACATTTTAATGGGGGCAGACAAACAATAATTTGATAATAAGGACACACACAAAAAAGACAGGGGACAGAGGACTGACGTAAGGTGGTCCTATTATTTCTTGAGTGAGTGACTGAACAATTAACTGAACAAATTAATGAATTTGAGGATAGAGGAAGGAAGAATTCATTCTTCAGGAAGAGGGGGAAACAGGAGAATCAGGGAAGGCTTCAAGGGGAGAGGGATATGCAGTGTGGGCCTGGAAAAGGGGAAACAGGAGTTTGAGGCGTGTGAGATGTGGGTGGTTAGAGACATAGCTACTCTGAGCAGGTAACGATTGACCTGAGAGAAAACTCTAAGAAATGAGGCATATAAAGATCTAAGGGAAGGTTATAGAGTTCTCTGATGACTTATCTTCCAGTCACATTAGCACCACTTTTACATATATTAATTTTTTATAGATGCCCTTAACTTATATTTAACCAAGAACAGATTAAAACAACAATTAATAGATTTATAACTTAAAAATCAGTATTTAGTAGGTTTTTGTATAAGGCATTCTACTAAGAACTAGAAGACATGGTTGCTATTATAGGAGAGCCAAATGAAAAACATCTAAACAATATAAACTTACAGGCATATTTCTTCATAAAATCATGCTAAGCTTTATCTAACATGTTTTAGAAACACTGGAATTAAAGGTACAGGCTAGAAATTACTAAAAACTGTTTATAAATAGCAACTAAAGAAACAAAGTTTACCTAACACAAGTCAAGTTTCAGGGCAAGTTTTCTCCCAATAACATTTCAGAGAACCAACAATTAGAAAGTTAATTATTTGGAAAATAAAATGTTTCAAACTTCAAGTTAGAAGGCCTGTTTGCTTATTTAATATTTTCTTTATAGTTCTCATTATACTACCTTACATTTAACTTTCATTAAATACTTTGTTAGTAAAAAGAGTGTGCAAGTATAACAGAGCAAAGCTGAGAATTTGCAACAATTCATTTTTGTAAAAGTCTGGGGAATCGTACAATGTAAAATGTAAGATCCTATAAAAAGTCTGGGCAATCGTACAATGTAAAATGTAAGATCCAATAAATGTAAGGAGGTTTTTAGTATTTTAGATCAGAAGGGTAAAAAACAAAACCCAAAGTATGCTTAAGCGTGAGTGAGATAAAAGTCTGACTATAGAAAACCAGTTTAGAAAACAGGAATTCTGTAGTAAAGCCCACTTGAGCGATGTATGAAGTACCAGTAGTAAGATCTGGTATTTACTTGCATTTTCTGAGAGTAAAAACAGTTGCTATTCAAAATTTTACTCTACCTATCTCTGTATGTGAATTCCAGTATGTTATATATGGTCTTGTTTTATCTTCTAATTTGTTTTTAACATTTTTCTCAATATCATTTATAATAACTTTGTATTTCTGTATTTTTATCAGTGTTAGGGCTTAGTATAAATTGGAAAATGCCATAGACTAAGCTGTGAATTTTATATCAAATACTCCCAAAAAACCCCGTTATAATCATAGGTAACAATCAAAACTTTAGTGATGAACATTTTGCTTATGGTGTCAGTATCATGATTCAATTCCACATCTGTTTGAATCACAGTCTCATTACGCTATAAGACTTCCAGTATAATACTTTTTCAAGAAACATTTTCTATTACCATTATACAAATATATTTCAGTTCTTCCTTGCCCCTGTGTCTTTGTTCACAGGACTCTGGTCAGCTGGATCATATAGCCCACCTTGGCTTCCTACATGATTTTCAATAATCATCAAATTAAGGGTAACTTTTATCCTATCTAGAATGAACAAAAAAAGACTGGGGTATAGAAAAACACTGCTAATATTATCATCACATGTTTTTTATTAAATATATAATTGTAAAAGACATGGTATGATTTTACTCTCCCATGACTTTACTGTGGGGGGGGTAAGAATGTTTTTTCCATTGTTAATCAGAAGGTATGACACGTTAAGGTATCAATGTATTTAATATATACATTTTTCTCTGATATATTTATTTTTATCTAATATATTTCGAAAAGCATCTGCTATAGAAAATGATGAGTCATATCAACTAAATTTAGAAAATTTAAATTGTTAAAATATTTATGAGTTATATATTTTCTTCTATTGAGTGTGAGATGTATAATCAGCACATTACATGGTTCTTGCCATCAAGGATTTTATGATCTTAAGAAACATAAAATGATAATGGTACACTTCTGAAAAAGACAAAAGACCTTTTTTCTTTAAAAAAAAAATCCTTTTCCTAAAAAAAAAAATCGTTTTCCTAATTACCAAATATTTAACATTGTACTCTTAAAACTTTTTTTTAACATATTTAAGTCTAAAATCATTACTAAGGGATCCCTGGGTGGCGCAGTGGCTTAGCGCCTGCCTTTGGCCCAGGGCGCGATCCTGGAGACCCAGGATCGAATCCCACGTTGGGCTCCCGGTGCATGGGGCCTGCTTCTCCCTCTGTGTCTCTGCCTCTCTCTCTCTCTGTGTGTGTGACTATCATAAATAAATAAAAATAAAAAAAAATTAAAAATAAAATAAAATAAAAATAAAAAAATAAAATAAAATCATTACTAAGTTTGTAGTCTCCTGATAACAGCTGTTAAAAAAGTTGATTTTAAGCATTTTAATGAATGTTTACTAGTTTTAATAAAAACCTTTGTGAAAACAACCTACAATGAAAGTCAGAATGTCACAGAAATCCAAATCCAACATTCTTCAAGACATAATTTGATAACTCTTTCATAATTATTTCATTAGTAATACAGTAAAATGACATGAGAACAGAGAGCTTCTCTTTATATAGCCTCTCTCTTTACATATTTTCTCTAAACATTGTTTTAAGGAAAGGACGGTCTTTGAGTCAGCCACCATACATGCCAGGCACTGTGTTCCTTTACTATAGGAGAGGCATATAACCTGCAGTATGAAAAAGGGAGCCTCCTTTCCATACCATGCTTTACCCC